CCATTACAGCTATCCAGCAACAGCAGGGCAACAAGTGACGAAGTCGCACGGGCCACAGAAATGCACCTTTGGGCAGCAAAATCATCATTGCCAACCGAAGACGCACGAAACATATTACACGTCGGAAGAGACACAAGGGACTCCAAGCATGAACGACAACTTGCCCAGAACCAACATCCGCGCTCTCTTTTGCTGCTCAAACCCGCTGGGTCAAGGGGTTCTGCTTCAGCAGCTGTAGACTGTACAGTCAGCCCCCGCGACTAAGAAACAAACCTCTTAAGAACCAAAGGCGCAGATTTTTGCGAAAAAAAAACGACGAAGAAACACCTCAGGCGTTGATCCTTACTGAACTGACCGATGCTCGGCGGTGGTGCCGAAAAAGTTAGTTGAGCCTCCAACCCAAAAACTGATACTTCTTAAAGGCGGGCGCTAACAACTGCACTACACGCGTCCGCCGCTGCACCAACAATAGTTGCTGCTACTGCTGCTGCTTTTGCGTACGCGCACCGGAATCGCCGCGGCGCCGCCGCTTACGTCCGACGCCACCATGTACGCCGTCGCCGCACCCCGTCCGGACTGCGGCCTGTGGAGCACATCGACGCTGCTGCCGCTGCGGCTGCTGTCACGCGGGAAACGGGAACCATGGGGAGGGGGAATTTTACAAAAGCTTCCGTTGATGCACAACAAGCGCTTGCCATAAAAACGCGGCCTTTCTACTGTCGTACTGGCATGAAAAAAAAAAGGGAAAACGACACAACAGGGTAAACCCTGGTCGAAAAGGGACAGACCTGGGTACAGTCATTAACAGCAGTAAATGCACTCATATCATAGGTCAGCGCCCAATTTCACCCCGGTGCGTCCGAAAAGGCGCAGGGTATACCCTGCCGTGACCACTTTTCTCAACAACTGTACCCTGTTTTCGCACATGTACCCTGACCTGTCGGGAAAAGAGACCCTTTCATCAATCATTTCCCCCGCAGGAATCTTCCCAACTCCTTTTCCCCTCCAACCATGGGATACCAAACGGCGAATCTTCCCGCCCAATAAACACCATGGCAACGGGGCAGAAATCAGTTTCCGCCCCTGCGAAACAACACCAACCATCAAGTCTTCCGCTCGAGACTAAGTCAACAATGGCCGGGCAATACCCCAGCACAAATGTTCCGTTTGGAAACATGCACACACGCGTACGATACCCCGTGGACGACTGCTTGCTGCAGTCTATCTGCGAGACGCACGGGTCAAGCTGTGAAAGCGAGACCGATCCAGCATGGTTGACATGCATAGCATGTGCCAATGTGTGGCGCTGTGCTGGCGGCGAGCTCGCGCCCGCAACGAGGGTGGAGAGGAGAGGCAGGACCAGCACACACAGACACGCCCTTGACATCAATCACGCACACACAAATCTTATCCTTACTCTAGCAGCAGGACACTGCTGTGTCGAGCATCTCAATCACCCTCCCTGTCGGTAGACAGAAGAAAGAGTGCTCGCGTTGTTTTCCATCGGCTCATCCCGCTGAAGCCTGACGTCTTCTTACTACATTGATTGATCGGGCGGCTTGGTCGGCTGGTAAGCGTGACGGCTGCTGCAACAGCAGTAGTTCAAGCAAGAAACACATCGCGATTGAGACACAACAGACAACGCACGCACGCACACACGGCACATCGCAAATGAGACACACAACAGACCACACACGCACGCACACATGCATGTCAATCATGCTGGATCGGTCTCGCTTTCAAAGCGTGACCCGTGCATCTCGCATATAGACTGCAGCAAGCGGTCGTCCACGGGGTATCGTACGCGTGTGTGCATGTTTCCAAACGGAACACTTGTGCTGGGGTATTGCCCGGCCATTGTTGACTTAGTCTCGAGCGGAAGACTTGATGGTTGGTGTTGTTTCGCAGGGGCGGAAACTGATTCCTGCCCCGTTGCCATGGTGTTTATTGGGCGGGAAGATTCGCCGTTTGGTATCCCATGGTTGGAGGGGAAAAGAAGCTGGGAAGATTCCTGCGGGGGAAATGATTGATGAAAGGGTCTCTTTTCCCGACAGGTCGGGTACAACAAAACAGGGTACAGTTGTTGAGAAAAGTAGTCACGGCAGGGTATACCCTGCGCCTTTTCGGACGCATCGGGGTGAAATTGGGCGCTGACCTATGATATGAGTGCATTTACTGCTGTTAATGACTGTGCACCCAGGTGTGTCGCTTTTCGACCAGGGTATACCCTGTTGTGTCGTTCCCCCCCGCCAAATGGTTTGCTCATTCGCTGCCGGTTGTGCAAACCTAATCTAAATCGATTTTTTGTGGTCCCGCTTCCTCGTTAATTCTGGTGTGGAAGTATGCCGACGACGACGGGGGGGGGGCGGCGCGGATGGTAATACACATCCCTCGCGCCGGTTCATACCCCCGGGTTTACCTTGAACAGGAACAGACTCGCATGGCATCAAGAGTACTCCCAGAGGGACGCGAGAACTATTAGCACTGGCAACAGGGGTTCCGGACAGGGTGGCTGGTTGCATGCTTGTTGTACACACCACACAAAAGCAAAAAGTATTGCACTTAAAATGCCAAGGCAAGGACCGCCTTCGTGGGGATATATTGTTTTGATCTATGAAATAGACAGGGCATCCCTATCCCTAACACTAACCATGCCCGCTACCAAAACCGAGCTCGATACCTCGCCAAGGCTAAAAAAAAAATACGCACACAGAAAGACTACCCGTTTCAGATATACCCACAGCACTGATACAAGAATGCAATACCCTACACGGTGTCACGGAATGTATCGACCAAATCCTGGAAGGGCTTCCTTCGGCAACAAGCCGTCCTTACGTCCCCGCCTCCATGCGTACCGAAATTGTTTACACAGCAACCTACACGTCTTCCGACGGGAGAAGTGAGGTGCTGCTAATTACCATGGCCACGAAGTATCCGCTAGATGCTTCAAGATAAAAAAAAACTTGGCAAGTAGATATACGAGATGCGCCAGCATTTCAAGACGTTCCTACAAACAGGGGCAAAGAATTGCAAAGAGGTGTTTATTGGACTTCAAAGGTACCGGTAGGAATTATAATATTACGTGTTAACGAGGACGCCTGGCTTCCACGCGTGAGCACGCGTACTGAAGTACCTTTAACTTAAGCGACGAGATGCAACATACTCATGTAACATAGTAACAGAAGAAGTTACGACGATTACAGAACATCTGATACAGATGGCGCCCGCATTTAAGAACCGCTATTATTGGCTGAGACTCGATGCTTATTGGCTGCCTCAAAGTGAGCACCTGTTCTTATTTTCAAAGTTCTTATTTCGAGCAGGCATATCCGTATGATACACTGGGTTCTTGTTCATATTTCTACGCCGAGGGCCCCATTCAGAGGGCATTTTTTTTTTCTGGGTCGATTCAGCCTGACACTTGAGAGCAGCGTCTTCATATGCATAAAACAGAGTACAATAATAGAACCTCGCTCAACAGCGACCTCTGGAATCGAGTTAAACAGACGCGGTTCGCCTGAAATAATGTCGTATCTGAGCACAAACGTTGAATCATTAAGAGGTCCACAAGGGTCACGTTCGACGTGATCGTCCTCCCCGCTCTATCTATTAACGCCCGTCGTAGCTTCATTGCGACCTTCACCCTGCTCTTCGAATGCCGGACCTCATCCATCTCTGCTCTACGGCGCGCTCCCCTCAAGCAAAGCCCACGACCCTACCACCGACCCCGCATCTCCACTGTGCTTGTCCAACGGCATCATGCGCTACTGTACATGTAGCTCGAAATGCACAAGGTAGTCGCAAAAAGTGGCGGGTACGCTTCTGAGACGGCCGAGTGTTCAGCTCACCAAATCAGCCCATGCTCAGTTTTACGAGCACTCCACATACAGGAACGAACTGTCAAGAGCAGCGGGTTTAGACGCTTGCATTCGAAACCCCGTGGGTGAAACGAAGGAAGAGGTGTCGGATATCTCTCGTCGCCCCCGCGTCGACTCGATGGCCTCCCAGTCTGACTTCGTGGGCAGTTGCCAGCAATGACATGTTTTTTGATGGCCTCTATGTGCCGATCAAGAATTACGGTTTGTTTCAACTATTGACAGCTGGCCGAGCTCTTTCAATTTTTCAAGGGGTATAGACAGGTTCTTGTGCTTGGCACGCAGCGTGGCAGGCACCCCAGTGACACGCGACGAGGGGTATGCCTCATACANCCTTGTACAACAAAGCTAGAGGCCTCTACCCCCCCCCCACACACACACACACACCTCCGCACCGACCAAGGTAAAACGTGAAAGCGGCTCCGAGTGCGAACACCGGGTTCATGTAGTTGCGGAATGTCTGTCGTACAAGGGGAGGAGATGTTACGTTGCTGAGCCTCGGGAAAAGTAGAAGGAAGATGCAGGGAGATGTTTGAGGCATGGAATACCAGCATGTAGGAGAGCACACGGTAGCTGTACTGTACCGGGACATAGAACGTGGTGGGTTGAAGTGGCGGGAAGTGATATCGATAGGAGGATAGATAGGCTAGGGAAAACATTATTGAGACACCGTTTTTGGTAAAGTAGGAGGGAACGATTGGATATCGGTCTTTGGTTCTGTGGGAACGATACTCCGTCCTCTCGAGGACGCGTGGTCAATGGTCTAACCACTAAGATATGCAAAACATAAGAGTACGCCCCCCCCCGCCCCCCTCCGCACCAGTGTCATTTGAAACGCAGATCCCCCTCCTCGTCGCTGATATGAAACTGACGGTGGGCGGGGTCACCGGACACCCCGTGAGTCACCCCTCACCACCTTCATGAGTTCTTTTCTTGCAGCTGCCACTTTTTGGGGGTCTGTTCTTACCCGCAAGCGCTTTGGTCCACCACAAATACAGGTTCTTGTTCTTAATACACAGTTTCGGACTGGGACTCCAAATTTTCCGGGAGAAGATTTTGAGATAAGAAAGCTTCCTGGAAACTTCGTGCAGGTGAAAATTTTCAGATTTGAGCGGCTTCATGTGATTGGCTGTGGGTCACCAGTGCTCCCACGACCTTCCCCCGTCTGCAGGTGCTGTTGTTTTTCGTGCTGCGCTGCGTGACAGCTAGCTGTGCACCTTGCTTGATGACAAGGGGCTCTCACTGCTGCTGCTGTTGAGTGTGCGTGCGTGCGTGCGTGCGTGCGTGCGCGTGTCCGTGCCTGCGTCGTTCCCTCAACCCCAGCGCACGAAATCGCACCACACCAGTACGGAGACAGGAAGTGGTTACTGTACACTGGCCGACGACAGCCTCTGAACGAAGTGCTATGTCGCGTTTCAAGCGTTCGGGAGAGAGACGGGGGGGTTGGGACCGGGAGGCACATCCGAGTCACACGCTCTTCTTTCTAGTAGACACCAGAGAAATTACTCTTGCGCGCGGAAGGACGTGCGCGCCTTCACCAGGAGGTCACTACGTGCTCTTCATCCTCTCTGCTCTTCTTTGCTGGCGGCGTTGCCACCACCTCTAGGATCGTGCGCTCTTCCTCCCCCTTGCCTCAATCTAACGGGCGTGTTACTGACCTCAAGCCAGCCGAAAACAAATCCAACTTTCTGACCGTGCAGCCTCCCTGTTTGTGTGTTGGTGGCGCGGCAACTCCAAGGCCTTTCGCTGGGCGCTGGCCTTCTCTTTGGCCGCGCTGACATGTTCTCAGCAGTCTGCTGTGTATGCGTGCGGTGGTGCGTGTGATGTGTTACCACGAAGAAAGTTGCTAAATCGAAAAATCGTGATTTTTTCCCCACAAACCAAGCCTCCCTCGGTTCTTAAATCTGTAATTTTGTTCCTTGTTGTGGGTTCTGGCGAGACTGTCAGGAGCGATCTTCAGAACGACGGCTTAACTCAAAATATGTTTCTTTATTTCGGAATTTCTTGAGTCCGAAACTGTCAAATACCACGTCGGAACTGAGCACGTGTTCCTATGTCCAAGTTTCTAAATGTTGATTTTTTCGAGGCGGCATTCCTTAACTGCTAAGTTCTCAAGTGCGAGCGCCATCTGTACAGTAGCGGCTACGATTTAAAGAGGAATTCAAAAGAGAAGGCACGGGTTTAAGAGAGGAAAAAACGCTTGGCACGACCAAAGTCGATTGAAGAGAAATTTGGCATATTTTTGAGATTTTCTCCTAAATCGAGCTGCTGGAGGCCACGTAGCACAACACTTTTGTGAACTCGAGGACATTGCCGAGAAGTGCGACATGCCAGAAGCGGCTCACCACCTCCGCAAGGCTAAGCTAGCTTGGATGAGTGACCACGGGGCGGGGGCAACCAAGCAGACGTGTATCCAAGACTACTTTTAACGGTTGCAGCAGACGCAGTGCTGAGGCTGACAGGCTTCGAGGGGTGCTTTGATTTTCTGTGCCAAAATTGTTTTGAAGCGCGTGCGATAATTTCGTACAGTACGTGATGTCAAGCGTGTTTCGTTCCATGGCTCGTTTTTGGCACGAAGGCTGTGGGTGGTGTGTTCATGCGTGATTGGGATGGGTGGGGTACGAGTGGTTCGTTCAGTACGTGCGTCGGTAGATTTTCCCTTGGATGCTGGTGCATCCATGGGCTCGCGTTGTACTTCGAGTTGAGATGCGAGTACAGTGTGCAGCACAACACAACAAGCAACAAATACTTCTATATTGTTTTTCCACGCGCACTAAGTGTGCCACACGACAACATGATGCTTAGTCCAATCTGCCAGCACAGGTTCCAAGAGCGTACCGTGACTTGGGTCCATATCGCTCGCCGACCAACAGACAAAGCTGTGTGTGGAGCTAGCCTAAGGTACTGACGCTAGCTGGGTCATGTGACATACGTAAATGATAGGCCCTCCATGAGCTCTGACGGCACATACTGCTGGAGTGGGCGTCAGGGTGTCAGTGTCCCACGACCTTTCGAGTTGGCTACGGTATAAGGTAATATTCTCTTTAAGTGAGATATGGTTTAAAGGAATACTCTCTTAAAGCGTAGGCAAAACGGTTTAACATAAATACCGATTGAAGAGAGCAAAATTGGCTTGCACCAACCCTCTCTTAAACCGTAGCCGCTACTGTTACCGCTACTGCTGTTGTGTACTTCAAGAACAAAGAGCATCCGATCCGAAAAGATTTGTGCCATTCGATCGACTTGATTCGATAAAAACTTCTAGTCCAGACTGGATAGATCGTTTCAAAGCGCGGGTCAAGGAAAAAGGAACAGCAGGAACACATAGCAGCAGAGCACCGAGGCGAAAACAACATATGATAATACAGTGGCTCTACTGTAGGAATCCACCAACGGTAGTGATGGCGTTTGTGAAAAAGAGTGCGTGATGACAAATGGTGGGGTACATGTAGTCCAGGAGAAGCTGCATGAACACAGAACAGGACTCTGCCTACACTCGGATATACACACGAGTGCATATAGGTAAGCCGCGTTGAACTACTAGTACTGCCGTGAACGCGTTCAGAGAGGCAGAACGCACCTGACCGGGGTCGTCGCCGAGGTGGATGTAGTCGGGGATGTGAAAGCGAGGACGCTACCCCTGGCTGGAGGTGGCACGAACCCTAGAGCTGACCCTTCCTTGCCGCTTCTTGTGAATTTCGGCACCACAACAACGGCAGAAGCAGCAACACCGCAATCACAACAGGCAGCGGGATGAAGCGCAGTTAGTCACGGATGTGCGTGGGGCCTAAAGCGGTTGCCGACATGAGAGGGGAGGTATTCAACCCTCTCTCTGCTCTACCTCTTCGAGGGAAAGACTACTGTTGCTGCTGCTGGTGCTGCTGTGCTGGAAAGGATCATGGGAGCATAAGAATACATGTCGGCTCACACATTGCTGCTTCCGTCCGTCTCACGGTGCGGGTACGGCGACTCTCTCTCTCTCTCTACACACACACACACATATTCAAGTGCAGGTCCCCACCGAGCGAGAGCAAGACCCTGGTCCACTGCCGAAGCAGACAGCAACAGGTAGAGGAAGCTCTTTATCAACGCCATGGTGTTTGGGTGTTGTGCGCTGCAACAGCAACAAGCAACGAAGCAGCAACACAAAGGGCGGGGGGCAGGAGGTAGGAGGGGGGCAAGGCACA